ATTCCCCCAAAAGTTGAAACTCGGGCAGATGTTACAATGGTTCGGCGATGGTTTCGCCTAAAAGGTCCCAAAGTTGTAATTCAATCCAAATTCTTTTTACCCAAATTCTTTTCAAGTCCTTCCGATCAATCAACGAGAATGTTCAAGAATTGGAGGATACAGTCATTTGGATCTGATGCAACTAAAATGAGAGGAAAACAAATGAGAGAGTCTTATTGGTGGAAACCCTCACAGGCACCATAGGGCGATGACGAGCAAAGAAAATGAAAATGAGAGAGTCTTGTAGTGAAAACTCGCAAAGAGCACTATAAGGCGATGGTGAGAAAAGAAATGAGAGAGGCCAGTTAGCAAAAACCCGCAAAGGGCGCTACTAGACGAATGAGGGTCTTTGATACTCCGGTATGAGCACAACCAAGACAGTTTCAAGATGAACATTTGCGACGGATTTTGAGAATTAGACAGCTTAGACGGATCAAGCGTCCAGTCCAAAATACATGTCATGATTCATTGAAGTCGGCCCATACCTCCAGATAAGTCTCCATATTCCTCTCCCCCGAAAGGGGCACCTTTTGTTTAGACACAATTCCTTTTTTCACTTTCAATTTCTTTTCTATTTTAACCCATAATTTTTCTTTGAGTCCTTTTTCGATCTAATCTTGCATCAAAAGCAAAGAAAAGAAATGGCTGCAAAACTGACTGCAGTTTCCCTGTAATACCAAGCAGAATTTGGGGCATATACAGAATTGATAAAGGCACGAATCGATATGTGATCTCTTTTGATAAGACGAACAAAGCGTCTCAAATAAACTGAAAAGGTCGCCTAAACAAGACTTGCTTCGTGGGAAAAGTTGATAAGCAATACAAACACAAACTGGTACTACGTGTAAGACAACTAAGTTGGATTTTAAAGGAAATTTGCCTTGCCTTAGGGACAAGGGTTAGCGGTACCATGGACATCCGGATATGAAACAGTCGAGGGCATCATCGGAGAGCCATGGTCTCCAGGAAGCTATACAGAGTATCCAAGCATCTCAGTACTATACTGGCAGAATAAGTTCTTCTACGGCAGTGGTCGTGACTTCAAGCTACTTAGGGCATCAAGGCCGCAAACCAACCACGAATTTGAAAACTCACAGTTTTTCTTTGTTTGAAGCAGGAACAAAGCAGTGCAGAATGGCGATTCTCAAAGGATGAATGTAAGCTCCTTAAAAATCTCTGTTTTCTTTATTTTCAGCATGCATCACTATTGTTCATACCTCCCATTTACGTAGCTTAACTCAGGTAGAACCATTTCACCTAGGGGGATCCAGCTCATAGTTCCGGGTAGAAGTACTCTTCACTTAGGTTTTTATACATAGCTTAACTCGGGTAGAACCATTTTGCCTAGGGGATCCAGCTCATATTTCCGGGTAGAAGTACTTTTCGCTCAGGCTGTTTTTCGTAGTTTAACCCAGGTAGAACATTTTCGCCTAGGGGGATCCAGCTCATATTTCCTTCTTTAAGTACTCTCCGCTCAGGTTGTTTTACAGTAGCTTAACTCAGGTAGAACTATTTCGCCTAGGGGGATCCAACTCATAGTTCCGGGTAGAAGTACTCTTCGCTCAGGTTCTTATACATAGCTTAACTCAGGTAGAACCCTTTTCGCCTAGGGGGATCTAGCTCATATTTCCGGGTAGAAGTACTCTTCGCCCGGGCTTGTTTTTCGTAGCTTAACCTAGGTAGAACATTTTCACCTCGGGGGATCCAGCTCATATTTTCGGGTAGAAGTACTCTTTGCTCAGGCTGATTTCCGTAGCTTAACCCAGGTAGAACATTTTCACCTATGGGGATCCAGCTCATATTTCCGGGTAGAAGTACTATTCGCTCATACTGTTTTTCGTAGCTTAACCCAGGTAGAACAATTTCGCCTAGGGGCACCAAACCATGGTTACATTTCTTTTTCAGTAATATAGGGCGCCAACCCCTGGTTACACCCTTTTCAGTAATACATAGCGCCAACCCCTGGTTATATTTTCTTTTTCAGTAATACATGGCGCCAACCCCTGGTTACATCTCTTTTCAGTAATACAGGGTGTCAACCCCTGGTTACATTTGCTTTTTTAGTAATACAGGGCACCAACTCATGGTTACATCCTTTTCAGTAATACAAGGCACCAACGCCTGGTTACATTTCTTTTTCAATAATACAGGGCACCAACCCCTAGTTACATTTCCTTTTCAGTAATAGAGGGCACTAACCCCTTGTTACATTTCGTTTTCAGTACTATAGGGCACCAACCCCTGGTTATATTTTCTTACCAGCATAGGGTCTCCACCCCCTAGTTGATGATTTTATTTTAGATATAGGGTCTCCACTCCCTAGTTGATTTTATTTTAGACATAGGGGCTCCACTCCCTAGTCGTTTTTCCAACACAGGGTCTCCACCCCCTAGTTGCTTTCATTTTAGACATAGGATCTTCATTCCATAGTCTCTGTTTTCTCATGGTACACCAATCCTGACCTTTTACTACTTTCAATAATAAAATAGTATAGAGTTTTGTTACAAATAACTCACGAAATTTTTCTAGTGAAAACTGGGGCAGAAAAATTTCGTTCGTTTGTTTGTTTTGGTGTCTAAGCAGGTTTTACCTCAAGGCATGGGTTAGATATGACCAAAACAAGAAGTCTCAATACAAGATAAAGAAAAGAAAAGAAAAAAAGTGAATCCAAACGTGAAAACGGATAAAAAGATATGGATTGCTCAAGACATGACCGAAGTCACAAGCATTGGATGTCTTGTTTTGATCAGAAGAAGCTATAGAACAATGAACTAGCACCTACAGCTAGCGAGCATCAAGGTTTAGATCAGAGTCTGCATGAAGAACCAGTCAAGACTCAAGATCAAGTTTCAGAAGACTCATAGATAAGAATCTTGTAACTCATAGCTCATAGGCTTGTATAGTTTCTTTTTTATTTTGATATAATAGCAGGACCGCGGACCGGAGTCTCGACGGAACCTCACTCGACTCCTCAACTCATCATTTCACCATTCTCCTTAAACTACACGCGGCTTGATTCCCTTATAACCCGGGATATGTTGGCTGTCCAAAACCAGGACTCGGTTGCGCCCTATCTTTTATTTCTTTTCCTTTTGAATAACGGTTTGGTCAAAAATTAGTCACTTGGCTCACCAAATCTTTGCCTGAAAACTTTTCATGTTTCCTAGCAAAGAGGGGCAGTTGTGACCACCTAATTTTTTACTATATTTGAATTTTTATCACATTCTACTATGTAAATATTTTAGAAATTTAATATATAATTTTTAACTTTGTTAGACTTTTTATATATATAGGGTAAAAAATTAAAAATATTTTAAAAGGTCAATTATTACTATTAATATTATTTTTATTTTTTCTCTTATTTTAAAATAATAAAAAAACACGAAAAAAATAATTAAATATTTTATTTTTTTTAAATTTTCGGATGGAATAAGAAATATGAAAAGTAGAAGTATAAAATTAAAAAGTAAAAGTAAAAGTAAGTGAAAATTGTTTAATAAAAAAGTAATTGAAAGTGAAAAATTAAAAAAATAAAAGTAAAAGAATGTGGAAATTTTAAAAATGAAAAGTAAAAGAATGTTGGAATTGATAAATAAAAGTAAAGGTAAGTGAAAATTTTATAAAAAAAAAAGTAAAAGATAGTGGAAATTAAAAAAAAGTAAAGTAAAATAAGTGAAAATTCAAAAAACAAAGTAAAGTAAAAAAAGTGAAAAATTAAGAAACAAAAGTAAAGGAAAGTGGGGAATTTATTTTTTATTTTTTTAAAAAAACATTTGAAGTGGGAATTGTTTTAATTTAAAAAATAATAAAATAATTTAAAAAATATATGAAAAAATCTGAAATTTTTTCTATAAATAGAAGTGAAAAATGAGAGAAAAGGAGGAGAAAAAAGAGAGAGAAAAAGGGAGGAGGTAATTGAGAGAATTTGTTTTTTTTTTCTACGCTAAGGGAATTTCATCACCCCGTTTAAGACTCGAAAATGCCCCAAATTCAAGCATAAAAACACCGTTGAAGTATCCTAATAAACGTAAAAAGGTTCCGATTTTGTCTCTCCGTCTTCGTTGAGGTTTCCGGGGAGCCAGACTCCGGTCAGATTTCCTTTCTTCATTTCATTCGATTTCGTGAGAGGTTGTATCGAGGTTCATTTCTTACTTTATCCTTGATTAATATATAAGTTTGAATTTTTTTTTATTATTATTATGATGGGTATTTGAGTAAAATTTTATGGTTCATACTTACTGATTATTTGAGCATGTTTCTTTTCTTGTTCATAGTTAGCATAAATTAGTTTGTCATCATTTGTTGGTTTAAAGCTTTAGCAAGAACATGTTTGTTTCCTTTTAATCTATAAACAATAATAGTTTTCCAGTTCTTGGTTAGTTTTCTTTTCTTAAATTTTCTAGCTATTTTTGGTAGATTATTTTTATAGAATATTTCGTTCCATGAATTAGTAAGGCATGAAGCTTTCACTGTCATTATTTGTTCAATATAATTTTAGAGAAGTAAAAATTCATGTTAAAGTAAATCAAGGTACAAAAGGCAGCAATGTATAAGGGAAATTGGGCCATACGAACGTTGATGAAATAATTTTGATGTTAAGGAAGAATGGGCCATGGAATTTTCTGACTTTAAAATTAGAAAGATCATGCCTTTAGGAATTTTTGGGTCGGATGGTTTAAGTACTATGGCCCATGGTAATAAAATTCATAAGCTAGCTCATATTTCTTTCATAATGAATAATTGCAAATACTATTCATAACTTAGTAAAGTAATTTATTTTGTAAATAATTCTAGAAATTAAATTCCATACTTTTAGTTCTACACAAATACATTTCATAACTCTTGACTTTACAACAATTTTCAACTTAGTTTAGGAAAAATAATTCAAGGTACGCATTCGCGCGACTTTGACTGAATAATCTTAATAATAATAAAAGTGTTATCAATTGTGAACACGCATGCGTGACATGATTTTTAATGTGCCAAACAAAATGAGTACACGTACGCGTAACTCGATTCAAGATAATTCCATAATTACGAATAATCAAGCAATTAAAAGAGGTTTAAGGCAAAAGTGCATAAATTTTCCTAGAACATAAAATATCCAGAATTAGTTAAGCCAGATATAATTATTAAAGCGATCGTGCTATAACCACGGAAGGATGCACCAAATCTCAAAGCGTGGAACAACACTTTGCTCTTCGCGATTGCGAAGAAGGATGCACCAGATCTCAAAAACAACAGCTCAAACACGGCGAAATGACCTGTAGCCCATCAGAAACACACCTGAGGTCCCCGGGACCCCGTCCAATTATACCAACCATTCCCAAAACATAATGCAAACTTGCTCGAGGACTCAAATCACACCAAACAACATCCAAACTACGAATTGACGATCAAAACACCTCGATTGCCTCTCCTTCCTTTTATATAAAAACCCTTAAACCCTTTCTCTAGAAATCCTAACCATTTCACCGACCACTCCACTCTAGTCCACCTCCACCTATGGCGTCGAACAACGAAGTTGAAGATGGACCGAACGACAAAGAGAAACTTAAACCAATGATGAAGGTGACCAACAAACGCCTCCGCATCTTAGGAAGAAACTCAAACGCATCCTTTATTCGGAGGAATCCGCTGCCAAAGGGAAAACCCTAAATAAAGACCAAGAAAAAGCTCTCCAGCAAAAGAAAACCATAGAGTATGCCATCGAAGAGTTGAGCATGGTTGAAAAAGATCTTCCTGGCGCCATCTCTTAAGAAATCGAACTCGCCATGTCAAAAGTAAAGGATAATTGTTTGAAGAATGAGGGGAATGAGTTAAACGAAGTTGAAGATGGACCAATGGCGTCGAACGACAAAGAGGAATTTAAACCAGTGATGAAGGTGACCAACAAGCGCCTCCGCATCCTTAGGAAGAAACTCAAGCGCATCCTTCATTCAGTGGAATTCGCTGCCAAAAGACAAACCCTAAATAAAGACCAAGAAGAAGCTCTCCAGCAAATAAAATCCATCGAGTATGCCATCGAAGAGTTGAGCAGTATTGAAAAAGATCTTCCTGGCGCCATCTCTGAAGAAATCCAACTCGCCATGTCAATAGTGGATGAGTTAATGCCTGTTGGGGAGACTGATCAGCCCCTACCTGAATCACATGTTACTTGTAAGTATAGGCTACATTTCATTATGTTTGGCTACTTTTCATTTTATTAAATAATATACATATTTTTTTTTTAGAGATTATCTAGTTAGGGATGTAAAGCTATTTACCCTTAATTTTAATTTTAGTTAAAGAAGAGGCTTCGTATTCCGTGCTGAAAGTAGAGTGTGTGGATGCAAGCCTCTACACTGGTCAGCTTGAGATTCAAAAGTGTATTGTACCCAATAACCCAAATTATTTTCATCATTTTTGTCATGTCAAATTTTAATACCTTAATATAGCTGGTCATTTCCCCCACTTACTACTATTAAGAAAATACCTTTGTTTGTTCAATGCATACACTAAGTTCGTTCTCTGTCTGTGTAGGGTGCCTTCAATAGCAGTCCAAGGAATGTCCGTCCTAGATTCATAGTCTACTACGAAATTGAAGAAAAATATCGTAATGCAAACAACCTTTGGCATTGCGTGGTTCAATTCTCGGATTCCAATTTAAAAGTAAATGTTTGCATTGTCTTACCCTACCCGTAGTGAAGCCAATGAGTGTATGGAGATGTTAAATGAGATCAACTCCCCATACCTCATGAAATCTTATGGACTTAAAAAACATGAAGATAGGCAATGGTTTGTATTTGTTGAAAGGATCTCAGTGTTAATGACTTGGATGGACACAAAACAGAATGATATGTGGAAATATCATGGTCGCAAATGTGTTGGATTTGACAGTGCATTTAAAAAATAAATTAAGTCATAATGTTTTTTCCTGAATAGTTGATTCAATTTTTGTTTCACTATTGTTCATTTTTGTCTCTACAGGCAAATTATGTTGGGTTTGAGGGCAATTCATGACGTTGATCGTCGCCATTGCAATTTGGCTCGGGGGTTTATCTTGGAATGGAAAATAATGTCCGTTTAGGCAATTTTGCTACCAGGTTAAAGGTAGTACTCAATTCAAGATAACACTTTATTATTAGTTACTCTCTCCGTTTTAATTCATATGAGGTAGTAAACTCGAAATAGAGCTTAAGAAAAAAAGAATTTTAAAACTTGTGATTTTAAAAGGTTAAAGGGTAAAAGCTTTGTGGGGTCATCACATATGTGTGGCTATAAAAACTTTTCATTAATGGTAAAATGGGTAAAATTGAAAGTTAAAAAGTAAATTACTGTCAAATATAAAAATGTCTTTTTGGAATGAACTAATAAAGAAAGCGTGATATAAATTGAAACTGAGGGGGTATAATTTTATTTATGCAATAACTTTTATTTTTTAAAACTTGCAGTTGATAATGAAAGTCTTAGGAAAGACTTGGAAGATTACAAGGAGTTAGTTAGGAGAGTTGTTCATAAACAACCCCCCTCCTCCGGATGCACCAAATGTTGTAGGTGAAGTTAGATATTTCTACCTCTTAATCCATTTGATGTAGTGGAGGTTGTTTTCCCTGATGCGTTGGGGTACATATACCTTGACTTGGCAACTGGTGACTATAGATATACGCCTTTGGTGTATGCTCAGGATGGTAAAGCAGAAATGACGTATGTTAACTCTTATATAGTATTTGTATATCTTTTATCAAAAACAAAAAAAGCTAATTAAAATGTTTTTGCGTTTTTTTTTCCCCTTATTTAGGGTCATATAATTCCTTTACAAAGAACCTACTTAGTGCAATGTGGTGGAGTTGTCAAGAGCAGAAGAAGAGTGGATCAAAGGTAGAGTAAAAAGAGTAGTATTTCTTCTAGTATCTTCAAATATTATACGCTTAACAAGGATTAAAGAACCATGTGAACCTCACGTGGTCTAGTTGTTTTTTCTTGTATTTGTCAATATTATTTTGTTCTTAACTAGTTATTTTTCACTTTGATGTTGGTCTCAACAGAAACCCCGAAGGAGAAAACCTGATGTGATAAAGTGAAGAACTCCAAATGATTGAATGAGGTCATGCATATGGGCTTTGTGTACTTCAGAAAGAGTAGGGCAAATAAATTTGTAGTAGTTAATGGTAAATTTAAGAAGTTAAAACCTTTCCGTGTTGAAGTAAATTGAGACCTTTCAAGCTGAGGTAATTTTACTTTCTTGCATTTCAACAAATTGAGTAACATAGGTGATATGGTAGTGTTCATGATTGTGTTGATAGAGTACCAGTGACACATTGAAAATCATTTTGGTTTGTTTACTTGAGTAACAGAGGTAGAGGTGTGAAGACTTTCTTCCTTTCAATCAACTTATTTTCTCTCATCGTAGACCATTTTGGTGTTGCTTATTGTCACATAATAGAAAAAGGTCATAACTTGATCATCCGGGAGACTGATTTTCTTCTTTCAGTTTATTTCAATGCTATTTCTCGAAGACCTTTTTGCCTGATTTTTGAAAATGTATTTTTAATCTTTTGATGGTTATATTCAAGAAAGTTTGTAGGTTTGAGTTTGGAAGTGCTTCTCTAAGGTTACTCATGTTAATTCGATCATTATGAGCAATTAAATTTTGTGGTGAGGGCATCCAGAGAAGCTACTATAATAATTTGGAAGAACTAAAAGAACCAGACAGCAAACGCCAAAAAATTGTTTACACAGCATACTAATTCTAGAAAACTGTCACTAGAAGCTTTCAAAAGGAATGTATGTGCTTCACCTTTTCTATTGCCTGCTTCACCTTGTTCAATGGTTCTTCGTGCAAGTAGGCTGGATCATCTAGCTCTGCAGCCAGGCTCCGCTCCCCAAGAAAGGCACAAAACGAGTCCGCAACTGAATTTGACAGAGAACTGAGATTATAACCCCCTTCTAAGAAAAACACGCAACGCCCTCCACATAAATCTTTGGCAAGTTGCTTAATGTTAGAGGCTAGCATGTAATATGTTCCTGTTGTGAACTGCAGGCTGGCGAGGGGATCCAACACATGGGCATCATACCTGAAAATTATCGATGACACCTTAACCAAATAAACATCGAACGCGCATAAGAACCACTGAGTCGTATTTTAATGTTTACATTCTAAATACAGTAGGCAGTGTTATTTTGACATGCCTAGCAAAGGCTACATCCTTTAGACTGCCAAGAACGTTTCAAGAGCAGAATAAAATATGAGAGGCATGATAGTAGTGATTATACCATATTTTCCCACCTCACTACAGCTTGCTAGTTTAGCAGGCAACATAATACATGATCAATTATTCACAAATAAAGAAAAAGGAGCCACAGTATTACAGTGACAGAACAAAAAGAACTGTGTTTAAGTCATGTTTTTTCATTTTTTACTCCAAAATTTTAAGACTATTTTCACAGACAAGAAAATTACCCAGCTGAAACAAGGATTATATCTGGCTTGAACCTTTGAGCACATGGTACAATAACTTCATCATACACCTTTCGCATTGCTGTATCACCTGATCCTCCAGGTAAAGGGAGGTTCAGTGTTGATCCTTCACCACTTCCAGAACCAATTTGATCTATCTTGCCAGTCCCAGGATAACTTCCAGCCTACACTGATCCAAGGATATCATGAGCGCATGACTTATTAAATTCGTCCAATTGCAGAGTTCTAAACCATATTAGTTTTACACTTCGAGGTGAATAGCTGGTATATAATGACACGAAATTTCTATTGCCAATTTATACAATGGTTGGTTGAGGTGAAAAGCAGAGCATGGCAGCAGGAGTGAAGGTTGTTTCCTTGTTCATGTAAGAAGTGAAAGAATACATGATGAAAAAGTGAAGAGGCATATGAATCTACCAAACCAGAAATTTAATCTTGCTGTCGTTGGGCAAGATAATCATAGTTAATGTACTTTATTTCTGCTCCATCTGTAACAAATAACATGAAGGAAAGTGCCACGAAAGTAATCACTAAGTGCCAAACAACCTTGAAACGAACATACTGTCAAGGATAATCATCTTTGCAGATCACTAGATCTAGCTCAATTATTAGATTTAAAAAAATGTTCTTCACTTCATTCAACTACATTTTATACTAGCAGTTCTTTTTAGAAGTAGAATGTTTAAAAATTTTCAAAGCAATCTGTTCAATGTAATGTGTAGCTTACTTGGTGAGTTGAAAGGAAAAATATATCTGGGTCCTCATAGAAGGCGTCATTGGTTCCATTTCCATGATGAACATCAAAATCTATGATAAAAACACGCTTCAATCCATGCATTCGTTGAGCATAACGAGCAGCAATAGCAATATTTCCAAAGACACAAAAGCCCATGGGGCCCTTTGGAACAGCATGGTGACCAGGAGGTCGAATGAGCGCAAAACCGACAGGAGGATCCTTCCTAAATTTCGATGCTGCCACCTGAAATATCATATGAAGCAATTACTAAAGCTTTGAAATGCTGAAGTTTACCATCATAATGCACCCTAAAGCGATCGCTACATTTGTAACTTCTAACTGTAGTGCCAGTACACTGAGATATTACTAACATCTTGGATTGAGACATTACCACTGAATCAACCAACGAAATTCCAGCTCCAGCTGCAAATAATGACTCTTGGAATGTCTGCATTATTGAATGTCCACATCAGAGTTCACATTGCCATAGAACACTTTCTTTGTGTTAAATCCTTCTCACAGAAATCAATAATTTAAGTATCCTTGTCAGCTCATAACAAATTCAAAAACTTGCCCGATTAAGAGTTATTATTTCATTAATAATAGAGAAGTTAAAGCATGAAATTTCCTTAATGGAATGCTAATGATGGGATTAACTATACGGCTAGGGTTTCATAGTTACACTCCTCCATCATGCATTATGAATTTCTAAACAGCATCTTCATAATGTTTAGTTGATCAACATTAAGCACCATAAATGACCACTTGTGTCTCATTATGATGTTGCTGTAGAAGACTCATACAAGAAGCAACTAGCTTTTCTGATGGGATTTTTCCGAATAATCCGCTTTCATGGTGTCCTAGAAGATTGGTTAAATAGATGCTTGCCTAACATGGTCTTATCCTTCCCCTTACAAAAATAAACTTCAAACTAGAAGATAACCTCCCATTTAGAAATAGGCAAAAATTTTACAAGCCCAAAGAAATCAAAGTTAGTCAAATAAATGCTTTCAATACATAAAACATCAGAAATGTTTTCTGAAAACGTTAAGTCACTGTTTGACAATCTGTAAGACCATCTTGACTTGGTCACAGGTCTCAGTGGAATGAGCTCTGCAAGCAAATGCTCATCCAGAATCAAGAGATTACTTAAGACTATGTATCAACAGTTTTTTGTGCGACAAGTGACCTTTAATGAGAAAGGCGAGAAAGCTACTCTTTCTTTCATTTTTGTTGAATGGTCACAAAGTTTAAGAAAGAAAGAAGTAGTTTAAGAAAGAAAGAAATATTCTTGGGACATATCAAAAAGTGCTCTTAAAACTTGTTTAAACATGCATTGAAATTACTATTGCTATAAGAGCAAATCATCAAAGGGTAAATGGAATTTTTAAAGTTAAAAGAGTCTCCAAATATAGATATGTATTATTCCCTTGGGAACAGACTAAAAAAGGCCATAGACGAAGATGACTTAGTTGTGAACTTCCTCTGAGTATAGAGTAAGAAAAGTAAACTACCAACAAAATAAAACAATAAGGTGTTGTTGTTTGGGTTGGGGGGGGGGGGGTTT